AGTTTTTTTTGCTTAAAACGTTTTACGCATATCTTAAAAAACTCGTCTCACGATGACTTGTTTTTATTCACAACGATATCGTCTACTTATACTCTTAAGGTCTCTAACTATTTCGAAATATGGAGTGCAATGGCGTAGTAATGCACTCTCGTAGAATTTCAATATAAACAATAAACATATTTAAATTTTAATTCAACGGCCGCGACCCAACGTTACTATATAGGTACACTGCAGCTGTAGCCGTGAGTTTACGAGAGGGCTATATTAGATAGGTAGGCACCTACATTATGTTTTAGGAGAAAATTATCTCCTGCAACATTTCATTCTCAAAAGTCATTACATATACCGAGGATGGCAGAAAAAAAACGAAATAAACTATTACAGGCGAGCGACTGGCTCAATACCTATACTACAYAGCTAGTCTATACAGTTATAGCTATCGCCGGTGCCCAAATAGTACCTACGCATATATATCAATCGATTATTGGGTATAACGACTTACGGTCGTCGYCGTAGTCGTCGTCGTGTTGTAATGTTCTCGTGGTCGGTGGGTTTCAATAACTCGTGAAAATAATAATATTATAATACCGGTACAACGCCTAAAGACAAATGTAATAAGTTATAACACACGTATATAATATTATGGTATAACCGAATGCTACGCCAGTTTAATACCAGAAATCACTATACCTATACTGGCTATACTACGTTATYATTGAACGACGCACGCTGCACCGCCTATGTTATAATAGAGCCGGAATCGTCGACGATAAATAATAGAAATATTCGTGTACGATGTGGATACRCGCTGCATATGTAGGTATAATAATTATTCACGAAATTAAAATTAATAATTTTCGGTGGTATTTCATTTTTATTTTCATTTATTAAATATTAATTACACGGAGGATCACTTGTACGATCAAAAACCGCAATCGAAAAATATTTAAATATACGAATATAATAAAGGCATAAGGTTTATACTTATGTACAGCTGCACACAATACATGTCCTGCAGTTTCAATTATACAATGAGTGACAACTTGATTCATTAAATTATTTTTTATTCTKATTACATTTTTATTTTACACAGCACTGTTTTCGTATTTATATTTATGTAAATATCGTAACTGTAAGGTGACTAAATATTTCGTTATAAAACGTACCAWATACGACCATATACGATAAGATCGTAAAAATAATACCTAAGAAAAAACTTGTCATTTTCACGGGATACAAAATATTTTGAAAACACAAATATGTATGTAGGTAGCTCTAGTAATTTAATTGTAAATAGTCTGGAGTATCAACTTTTAAATTATTATAGTGGTAAATCTAATTTTGATTTTTGTTCTAACATTCTTGTTGAATTAACAAATATAGTAATGAGAATGCCTATCTGCTAAATTATTCTAATTTTCTTTTTTGTTTGATGATAGTTTTAATCATGTATTATTATAATATGTTATAATAATATAATGTATTATCTATTCTCATTRCCTCTTTGGGGTGTTAAATTTAAATAAATAAATAAATAGTTAGATTAAAACACATTGATAAAATGTTACAAATGTGTTTAAAAAATTGATCACAAAAATAACTTTATTAATGTTTACGATTTTAATTCTGATGAGCTTAGTTGGTTAGAATACAGCGAAATTACGAGGTAATAACAACTATTGCAGTTTTAAAAGTAAAATTTAATTACCTAAATTGTTAATAATCTATCATGATGGTCTAACCTTAATTATTATTTACTATTATCTTACCTCTAATTTTCTTAAAATCAGTGGAAAGTAATTAAAACTAAAAYGGTGCCTGACGAGATTTATTCATTACTTTTATTTAATAATTATTGTACTTCATATTCAGTCATATGAAACCTTGAAATCGGTTTGTGAATTGTGTTTGAGATACATATTACTTAGGCATACTGTAATCCAAAGCGTACCAAGTATTGTACATTATAAATGACAAGATTTTTTTTTCAGTAATACTTGATAAATCAACTTATACATAGGAGAATATAAAATATAGTTCTATACATATTTCCTTAGCTGCAGTTTGATGCTCCAAACATTGTTTAATATTATACATTAACTATATCATATTATATTATAATATATAAACATTTGTAAAAATGTTGATCTCAGTTCGGATTATACTTCGAGGGAAGAGATTCCGCAATTGTATGCTATAAATAAATACATGTATACTCTCAAAAACCACTAAGAGGTTGTGAACTGAATAAAAAAATCTAAATGAATCGTGATGAAATCTCGTCGTGATTTTTCATTACAATGAAAACATAATATCACTCGTTTTGTAGTTACATTTCAGTCGCTGCTATTCGACGAAAAAAATAAAATACCCCCATCAAATATATTGTAGGAAAACTGAGAGACTTCACATTGCTTTCAGTTTTGAATTTTTTTCGTAAACCATAATACCATATTATATGTATTATAATATCAACTATGTGTGACTCTTAACGTTCATCGCATCAACAATTCCCCGACCGTATTCGTTTTCACAATCATCGATAATTTTTAGAAAAACGTACGAACATGATATAATATTATATAATGTTACGAACATCWTGATATGAAYGATTATAACAATAATCATAATAATAAAAATATACTATAACGTCTTGTGAGTTGTGGGTGAAATGGTGACACACGTTTTTGAGTTATTATTTTCGTTTCTCGAACAACCGTCGCACGCGCGATGTATTGCCGTCGTCGAAGGAGAAAATAACAACAATAATCGATCAGTATAAAGAATTTAAGACGCGGACACGTCACTTACGGGTATATACTTATTTCTGTTTGCAGTCAATGGAGGGGGGAGGTAAATATTGTTGTAGCGGATGAGAGAAAACCGCAGTACATAAGAGCGGCGACGTCTACAGTCGACCAACGCGCCTACAAAATGCCTTTTTTTATTTATATATAGTTTTTTTCAGTTTATTTTTTTTCACTTCTCGTCTTGAAGTTTTCACTGACGATGTCATTTGCAATTCTTTAAACATAATAACAATAATATGTTATACTCTACGGCAGTRTACATGCTTCTATACATTGCAATGGCCAATCGATTTTATTATACTACGACATTTTTATTTCCATTCGGTTTTCCGCGTACATGAATATATGACACAAACATATTATATTATATATATATGTGTGTGTGTGCGACGTGTGCGTGTGTGTATTTTATAGGTATAGTTATTGACATGTCGGGTCGATCGAATCGTCTCCGCGCTGWCAAAAATCGTATATATTATTGTATCAATCTGCGATGTGCCGATGTACATAATATATAATATGACTATTTAGACTTAATATATGTATATGAGAACATTGAGAACTCAAATAGATCTCTGCACCCACCCTAACTAATATATTTGTATTATATGTCGTCGACAATAATAATAAATAATAATAATAATAATATATAGTAAGACCGTAAACCGTCGTATACGGCGCATTGAACTTTAGTGGTCTCCGAACTTCCGAGTTTTCGACTATGTGCGTATCACGCATCTCTCTCTACAACCGWSTCATTCAATATTCAAGGATTGCATGTACATAATATATACATATTATGTGTATGAAATAGTAGTTCTATTACCGCATATGGTTCGTTTTTTATTATTTGCTTTTGAAACGAAATCAATTGTATTCGTTCGTTTGAACAAATACTACATTTGCATTTACTATATTGTGCGTACACGTCTTTACTTTGAAGTTATGGTACGGATAATACAATATAGGTATATAATCTGCACTGAAGCTATATTGGGCTACATATACTTACTCGTATAATAGTTTCACATTTTTTCGCTGTTTCGTTTCTTGAAATTCCGAATAAACTTTTTTTATTTTAAATAATATTTGGTGGTGTGAGTTGGAAATTG